AAATAAGGTGAGGTAATAGGTAATGAGACAGCTCCCTTGCAGAGCTGGGTGGAGAGAGGTGAGGGCTGAAGGTCTGGTGTTCACCTGTAGATGCCTAACTTCCTGGTGGGCTGTCACCTCTCCTAGATGCCCAATGCTGACACTGAGGGACTCACACTGAAAACAGGGTCTCAGAATAAGCACTTGGGGTATTTTATTTGGAGAATTTCCACTTTCCAACTTTGCATGTTCCTGAAGCTACTGAGCTCGACCAGCGGTGGAATGAGGACACCTCTTTGCTTTAAGATCCATGGATGGCAGGGTGACACGAAATCAGAAATAACTGTATTTAGCCATGGCGTCAACCAGAAACTCTCATGACAGAATTTAGGAATGATGTGAAAATGCGCTGGAATCTCATTGACACATTCACCAGGCAGTGTCAAGGTTGCAGTGCCTGTTAGGAAGCTTGGGGCTCTCCCAATACAAGGGCATGTGGTTAACATTTGCATTGTCTGCCAGTTCCCTCTCTCACTCTCCTTCCCAGTCTTCACTCCTCTTCTTCCACTGCTACTCCACTGTCTTACTCCAGTTCCCAGTCAATTCCTTTTGATAGCTCTGTTGTCATTTCCTTCTTTCCATTTTCCATAGTTACCCTTTGATCAAATGCCCCTTCCTTTGATATCTCCCTGCATGGATTAAGGTAAGTGTCTTGGCTAAGATCGCTTAAGCAACACTTATTCCCAACTCCCTGACCAATTCTGGCTTCATGAAGGCTATAGCTCCACCCTTAAGTGTGACGGATTATGTCTCAGGTCCAGGCAACTTGGTCTTCCCACTTCACCTTTCTAACCACTGTCATACCCATGTGTCACCTCTGCTGTTACTGATTTTTCCTTTAACTTGACCCACTTTTTAATTTAGACGCATTGATTTAAATGTCCACCACTAAGTAATAGCACTGAACTATTAGATTTGATATGCTAGCTATGTAAAATAAATTCCCATCTTTTGACATAAAAGTGTGTGTGTGTGTGTGTGTGTGTGTATGCATGTGTGTGTGTGGGGGGGGGGAGGGGTATGTTCATTGATGGAAGTGACCCAGATGTGACCTTTTCTAGCCTCCTTTCTGACTCAGAAACCCCTACTTCCTCTCTGAGGAGTGGCATCCACACTGGGCCTGAACACGTCCTGTGTGGTGAGAGGCAGTGTTTTTCCTGCTTGGCTGGGCTCCTGCATAGGATGCTTTGTTCTTTGCCCTCAGACTACACACACATCCCTGGTGTTTGTCTTAGCTCCCAGCATCTCTGGCATCTCTGAACATCTCTCCCTCTCTCCCCAATCCTCTCTGCTCTGAAAGGTGAAGAAGGAGCTAATTCTAGGTAGGAGGTTGTTGCTTGCCAGTTGCAGGGGTCCTGCAGGTCTCTCAAATCAGAAACGCCCGAGGGCTCCCGTATATGGTGGGAGGGATGGAAAGACCTTGAACAACAAAGAGGAGAAGGGGCAGGAGACAGTGGGATGCACAGAAAAGGGCAGTCATTCTGGTGTAGGAGCTGCTATCCTTGCTGTTGAGTTGCTGATATGCTGCCAACACTGAGAACGTCTGAGCAGGAAGAACTGGAGAGCAGATTCCCCTTAACTCTTACAAGTAACCAAAGGTAGAAGCTTGCTCCTCTCCCAATTAAATTATAAAGAAATAACTGGTTTAAATCTATTAGAAGTGAGTAAAGTGTCCAACACATGTCCCAGGTCCTCTCAGGATTGCCTTAAATCTATTTATTGTGCACTATTTCTAACAAGATGGAAGGAGCAAGCCAGAAACTTCCTTTAAATAGAACAGAACCTCACATGCTTTACTAACCTCTTTAATCATCATTTCTTTAAGAAATGGAGCTCTGGGGACACGTCCACTCATCAGGACATACCAGTATCTCAAGGGAGGTGGGATAGCAGCTTGAAAAAGCATATTCAAAATTACTTCTAGCCAGGATGAATCCTGCTTCATAAATTCTAGAGTGCAGGAAATACTCCTATTTTTTCTCGCCCTTAAACAACTTAAGGCCAACCATGAACCCTTGCTTTGCTGCCATAATGGGGTGGACCAGTTCACCACTGTCACTCATGTACACACACCACCCAGCAGCAATATTGCAGAATTGCCATCTTATACAGAACAAAAAATTTCAGGAAAGTCTGCAATGTCTGAGCTACCTTCTGGAAAAGAGGACAGAGAAATGTGCTGGGTAAACAAATATTTAAGCTAGATTTTCCATCACCTAATTGTCTAATTGGAATGCCCCCCCGCTCCCTGAAAAATCTTACTGGCACTATAAGAGGAACAGTGGGAAAATATATAAATTTTTTTGGCTACTAGGGTGACTTGAAAAGAGTGAGAGGAATAGTTTTCTAACTTAAATCTTATTTTTTTTAAAATTGCTTTCAGAGAGGAAGGGGGAGAGAGAGAGATGGAAACATCAATGATGAGCGAGAATCATTGACCGGCTGCCTCCTGCATGCCCCCTACTGGGAATCGTGCCCACAACCCCAGCATGTGCCCTTGACTGTAATGGAACCCTTTAGTCCGCAGGCCAACGCTCTATCCACTGAGCAAAACCAGCTAGGGCGGAATAGTTTTCTAAACCTAGAAACCAGAAAACTCAGGACTTGAAGTTACTGAAATAACTCCTTTCATCTATATACCTCACTCAGATACCTGCAGGGGCTGTACCACTGAGCCTGGTGTTCTTTGCCCAAATATGATGAATTTGTGGAAAACAAAAGTTCTTAAAGGAACCAAAAAACTCAAAGGGATTTTTCTGGAGCTTTCCTTCCTCAACGGAATTTCTCTTTCCACCTTAGAGTGGATGTTAGTGTATTTTCCCTCTTCCAACTTTCTCTGCTCTTTCAATTTGCCTCGTTCTTAGGGATTTTCCTTTATCCCAACCAATACAGATCTACACACATCAGTTACTCTCACTAGTCATTCTATTTCTTTGTTTGTGAACTCTAACAGCTGTGCCTTCAGGCAGCTTCTACTTCCTACTATACAAAAATCTATAAAGCAAGAGAAAGATGCTAATTTGAAATCTCCATAGAACAGTTTCAATTAATAATTCAATTATTTATTAGGGTTAAAGCAACAAATTATTGTCATTTTACGGAGAGGTGAACTAATAAATGATAACTAATATTATAATAATAAGCTTACATAACATCCACATTGTTCTCTCCTGGGGTAGGTGTTGATGAAGATAGTTCTCTTTTGGGTGGATTTTTTTCTTTTTCTTTTTAAAATTTCTTCATCCTTTCTCTACTCCCTTTTATTTCACAAATTTAAAAAAGCCCTGCTTTGGCCAGTATGGCCCGGTTGGTTGAGTGTGGACCCGTGCACCAAGAGGTTGCCAGTTCAATTCCAAATCTGGGCACATGTGGGGTTGAGGGCTCAGTCCCCAGTGGGTAGTGATCAGGAGGTGGCTCAATCAATGTTTCTCTCTCTCATCAATGCTTCTCTGTCTCTCTCCTTCTCCCTTCCTCTCTCAAATCAAAATTTAAAATAAGTAAATAAATAAATAAAGCCCTAAAGTTAATTATGCCAACTACCGTTCCTGCATGTGCTTATGCTACCCAGAGGCTACAATGGGGAGTGTGTAGACTGATGGGTTCACTGGGTATCTAAGGGTATGGATGAGGTCCAGCCTGCTCAGCCTCCGCCTGCCTTTCTATTTAAAATGGCTTAAACAGAAAGTCTGGGGGGAAAAGACGTGCGAAGGAGTAAATCAAGCAACACAAAAAAGAAAGTTGGTTGTTCACTGGGTGCATAAAGAACATGTAAATCATTAATAAGTATTATTATGGAAAAGAGCTAACTCGCAGATTATAATAAATGTACTTGATGCAATTATAATAGAACTCAACTAAGTTCATCACTGATGGAGACTAATACTATGTCTCAAAATTGTAATTATTTGAAATTCAAAGGGAAGAAATTAAATAACCAGTGTCTTTCCCATTTTATAGTAAATGACATCAATTTGATCAGAAATGTGGTTTTATTTTTCTTTGTTATCTGGTCTATAAAACAAGTATGATTGCAGCGAAATTACTTGAGGTCACTTGTAATAAAAAAGTATATAACTTAGAAAATACCCTCCATTCCTGCCAATTTATTTTAAATTGTGTTTATTCCAAGTCATTTTCATAACATTGCTGTTAATATCACAATGAAGGAGAATAACTAATTTTAGATCAACTTAGGTAAGTTTAATTATGGTCCCCATAATGAGAAACACTTTTCTAAAACCAGCTTAACAAAGTGGTACCATTTAACCAACAATTCTACATTTAACAAACAATTCTAAGTTAGGGAGCTGTTCTGGGGACATGAAGAAATAAGGGGTTGAAGAAAATTTAACGCTCCAGTTGGCCCACTTTTGTTAGATATTTCTTGCTAAAATCATCCATGAATGGGGTGGAGGTAGAAAAATATAGAGGAAGAGAGAGAGAGAGAGAGAGAGAGAGAGAGAGAGAGAGAGAAAGGGAGAGAGGAAATATTTTTCTAGGGCTTTGTGATAAACAAATATATTTATAAGAAAACATCAGCCATGAAAATGTCTTTTAACCCTTGGTATCTACAGCTGTTGTCCTAAATAGTAAACTGAAAATACACAGACCATACTGAAAACTTTAGAGAGAATTTCTGTTTTTGTGTGTGTGTGTGTTTGTTTTGGGGTTTTTTTGGGGGGGGGATGGGGAGCGGGTCTTAATTTGACATGAGATGCCATCTTTGGAGGCGGGGCGGTGTTTGCATTTATTCTGAGGTAGGTCAAGGCATTGATTCCACTCACTCACAGCGTGGGATGCTCTCAGGAGCAGCAGTCCGGCTGCATGCGAGCCTGAGACTCTCCCAGGACCCACAAAGAGGGAATGGACAGCACCGCACAGTAGAGAGATTCTCAGCAAACTTGTAAAAAGAATGACTCCGGGCGGAAACAAGGATGGCATGCACATTAATGAATACTTACATAAATGTCTGCACCATAAAATCCATCCTGGTAAACAACACTGCAAGGGTGCACACACAAAGAGAAACATCCATATTAGTGCGTTTCCCCATGCAGACACACCACCCCCGCACTGGCGAAGTTAGTCTGGTCACGAGATCCAAAACACAGGAACTGAAGAGCGTTTCCACTTTGGTTAAGGAGGTTGGAGACAACAGGAGGCGGGCAGGCTGAGAAAATTAGGCTGGTTCAGGGTGGCCCACAATCAGGACCTGGTGGTGAGAGTACCAGACTTCCCTCCCTCTCAGGAGGGGTGTAGAAGTGCAGGCAGGGTTGAGGTTTATTTCAAGTGGCCTAGACAGATACAAGAGTCGGAGTTCACAGTCAAACTGTATAGTCCCCCTGCCCCGGGGGGGAAATCATCCCCTTAAAATGCATGATTGATAAGGGTGGGGCGCCCAGATTGTCACATTCTCAATGCGGTTATAGCTGGATGACCTTAGGGGAGCTGGACAATACAGATGATTCCAGAAATGTTCTTCTGTATTCTTTCACACGGTGGTATTATATCTGATAATTCCCTGTATGTGTGTGGAAAAAATATGTCTGTGTTTGTGTGCATTTATGGGTATAAATGTGTATATGTGAGTGTAAAATATGTATTTTGGGTTTGTATGTGAATGCATATATGTGTGTTAGTGTGTATATGCCAATTCATACATGTGCACACATGTGTTCATGTATATACCTTGCCCATGTACGCATATGTACATGAATGTATATCACTTTTTTAATGTGTGTAGTAGTGTGCTGGCAATCTGCTTATGTGTACTCATATATGTACATGCACATGCATGTTTCTGTGTGGGCATGTTTGTGTAAATTATACCCAGACTAAGCAAAGCCCCACATTATGACTGAACAGCCTGGCCTTGAGCATCTCTCTGATCACTGTGCATATAGTCATCCCAGAGACAAGGGACCTCACAGGAAGGGGAGAACAAGAGATCCTGGAATTCTCCAGAAATTTCTTGGTATACCTTGAGTGAAACAGCCACGAAAAGAAGCTCACAGCTCCACCATCATGGGAAACTGACTTAAAATTCCTAAGTATTAAAATGGGTTTAATAAGGTTCTTAGGCAGCTTGCACATTTCGCAGGCTTCATGAGGGTCACAGGATGACCTTGAATATAAAAACACGTGTTTCTACATGCATGTTTTCCAAAGGATGGTAGTGTAATTAATAACCTTCCCTAATATCTCCCCATGGAGTTTACACATGATTTATGAGTCTGGCAAAGGACCAATGAGCCCCATCATTGAATGGAGCTGTGGTTTGAACAGAAGCACAACTTGGATTACCAAAGGTTTCCAGCAGGTTCGGTGGCAGGGTGGAACTGCATGTAAGCCAAGCAAATTGAGCCAAAGGAGAGCACTTCACAACATACACCCACACACACACACAGCAGTGACACTGCTTTGCTGGAGAACACTGTCGGGTGCTTCTCAGAGCTTTTCAGAGTTGACCGGCGAAACCCCAAGTACCATTATCCTTAAAAAGGAGGCAGGGATTTCACACACTAAGGAGGTTGGTGAGAATCGCTTTAAGCTGTTTTCATTTTGATCAAAAGGGCTACAGTTCACGAGAGCACTTGTCAAGCAGCACAAAACCCTAATCCCAGATGCTGAGGTGTGCGCATCCTGAGCTAGGCTTTGAATTCTCTTTCAGCATTTCCAACAGAAGAAGATAGTGTCTGTTGAGGGTCAGAAGGCAGGGCCAGCCTCTGCCAACAGGACACAGAACAGATCTGATGCAACAGGGGAGAGCAACCAATATTTAGTTTGGGCCCAGAACCACAGAACGGATCATTTAGCCGTAGCAAAACAACTTCTGTCCCATTCTTTCATGCCATCATGCCTTTGCACATGCTGTTCCTTGCGCTAGGAATGGCTTTTCTGCCAACATCCTCACCAAAAGCAGATATACCATTCAAGAGCCAAGTTAGACGGGGACCACAATGGCATCTGGGTCAAATTTCAGCCTCGCCCATTGGACCAGTTACTCAAGCTACCTGAGCTTCAGTTACTCATCTGTAAAATGGGGAAAGAGGCACCTCAAGGGAGGAGCCAGTGAGATCTGGCTACAAAGAAATGGGTCACATGCTTGACATCGCAGCTCTAATTGAACATCACCGTTGCTATGACCTGTATCCAATGCTCACCCAAAGCGGAGCTATTTCTCCCTCCTCTAAATGCCAACCTCACATTTTTTGATCCTCACTCGGTAAAATAATTTTATATATTGGTCAAATATTAAATGTACTTGTGTATGGGCCTCATTCCACATTGAAGTTGCACCCAATTAGCTTACTCCACATTCTATCCTGCTTATGGCTGAACATGTTGCTTTCTACCCAAGAGATGTAAAATAAATGCCTACTGACTGAGTACTGCCATATCTTAAAGGGGAGGTGACAGAAGATGGCACAGAGTAATTGACTTAGCAACTCCAGGTTGACTTAAATAGTGAATTAGGAAGAGACATCCTACAGCCTCAAGTTTGTTTCTAATCTGGTTATGCAGCACCAATGACTGTTGCCAGTGGAGGAGGAGAAGGTGAATAGGATTAAAAAACTGGACCCTGGCATAGGAGACCAGAGAAAGAGGCTGGACAGAATGTGATCCAGCTGTGAATATTAATGCATTCATGTACAAACATGGGGAATGATGCTTTTTTCTAACTATCTGTAGAGGACCCAGTCTGTGTCTGCTCTTCTGAAAACACAGGCACCCCTCGGAGGGACTGCGGCTCAGTTCCAGACCAGGGCAACAAAGGGAGTGTCACATAAAGAGAGGCGTAATCACTTTGTTGGGAAGTGTCTTCACTTCAACTTGTAAAAAAATGCAACATGTGTGAAATGCAATAAAGGGAGACGACAAAGCGAGGTCTGCCTGTGAGGGAGCGAGGCTGGACCTTGAGGTCTGTCCCAGTGGACACACAGTGTGGACCAGGTGTGAGTGGGGCTGAGCTCTAGCTGGGAAAGGGGTCCCTTCTTTCACCAGGACAGGTCCTTGTGCGCTGGGGCAGGCCGTGTGCTTCCTGCCAAGCCTATTTGGGCCAACAGCTCCCAGAGTGAGGCAAGGCGGGCCCTGATGTTTGTTCAGGACGGTAACCTAGTCACCATGCTTTGCCTTCCAACGTGGCCATGGAAAATGACTTGGGGACTCTGGCATCCCACGCTTATGAGATGGAGAACTAAAGAGAAAATGTGGTCTAACATCCTCATTCTGATAAGCTCAAACAAACTAGGGCCCTGCTGTTGCTTCCTATATTCTTACCACTGTGCCAAGGCACAGAGGGCAGAGAGAGTGAATCCACTCACTACACCCACCCTTGGAGAGCTCCCAGGGAGTGGACACTCAGTCACAAAGCCACGTGCATGAACAGCCAATGGCAGCTGTGATGGGTGCTGCGGAGGAGAGGGACAATGGCACCCTGAAAGTGAAGTGGAAGGAGGGGGGCTAGCAACAGAGGGCAGGGAACCAGAGGAAATGCCACAGAAATCTCAAAGGCTTAGCCAGGTAGAGAGCAGGAAGAGCAGGCCAGACATAGGGAACAGCCCAGTGTCTGGAGGGTACGGGGCTCCTCAGAGGGCCTGTGGGAAGGGCATCTTTCAGCTTTGGGAGGCCCCGCAGGAAGTGGTGGCTTCACTGAGAAAGGAAATCGAGAATTCTAGCTGCTGTGATAAACCACACGGTGTAGGAATTGTTTGTTTTCACTGAGTGCAACACCTGCACGTTTTGGAGAGAAATGAATGAGAGGCTGGGTGATCTACCTTCTTGAAAGCTCTAAAAAATGTGGAACCGATATGTTTGTCCTCATTGGCAGTGTGAAATGAAGCCACTTTGGGGGCGTCAGTTTCACCAAAATGCTATGTGCGTTCCTCCCCCCCTCCCCCCACTCTAAGCTATAAGTAATAGCACCAGTATAAGTACTATTAGTCTTTACATTGATTGAGCGATGGCTCTGTGTCAGCCTGTAAGCTAAGGGTGTTGTCCTCATTATCCCACTTAATTTCATAGCACACCTTTGAGATGGGCAATATTGTGGTCACCGCTTTGGGTCTAAAGAAACTGAACAGGAGAGAGCTAGGTAGTGACTAAGCTGGGATTCCAGCCAGGTGGTCTTGGCTTCACAGCCCCAACTTTTAACGACTCTGGCACGCAGCAGCGGTCAAACTTCAGCGCACATCCGAACCACCTGGAGGGCCTGTTCAAACAGATGGCTGGGCCCCCACCCAGCCCTGAGGCCCTGAATCCATAGATATGAAGGGGGGTATGTGTCGAAGAATTTGCATTTTTAACCAGTAACAGGTGATGCTGTTGCTGGTCCAAAGACTAATAGACTCATTGCTCCATGAAACACCCCCCTCCCTCCATGTGTTTACGTTTGAGGCAACACTGAAAATCAGCTTCCTAGGTCCTATCCTAAATGGAAGCTGGTTATAGAAAGCTCTGACAAAGTCTCATGCCGGTTTCCATGAATACAGCCAAACACTTGTTTTGAAAGCCCCGTGAAACAGATGAAACGGATTTGCAGGGCAGGGAGAAGGGGTCAATGTCTAGTCTGCATCTATAGATAAATGAACCACAGTCCAGTCACAAGAGAAGGGAGTAGCCGGCATGCATTGAACTGGTGCAGCTGATGTTATTGCAAAGACGGTCTGTCTAGCCATGCACAGGTAATTGTATTGCTTGTCAATCACTTTGGCACTGCAGTGTGCTTTCGCAAGAACATAATGCAAATGCACATCTCATTTTCTTAGAAAGGTAATAACTAGTTAAATATTTGGATGAATGCAAGCAGGGAATGATTGCACTATAGCAAATTAGTTTATTTTAAAAAAGGAAAGAAAAAGAATAGGATGCCCGAAGTGTACAATGTGTTTGTGTAATATAATATAGTCTCCCCCACAAATACATTTTTGAAGAAAAGGTTATTTAACACTGCTCTACCTTGTTGCCCCTTCCAAGTAAAATAAATTAAAATTTTAAAGCAT